AGCAGCTCAGCTGCTGCCCGGCCCCGGGCCCGGAGCCCCCGCTTCCTCCCCGAAGGCCCTTGGGGACCCCGGGGAGCTCGGTGCCCGTCCCTGCCTCTCCCTCGCACTTGCTTCATCCGCCTGGCCTCGTGGTTATTTATATCCGCGTCTGTGTCCCAGCGGACGGCCCTGAGCCTGCACGGACACCTGATGCAGCAGATGCGGGGGGGGGACGGGGGACGGGGGGGACGCCTTTGGCCCGTGGACCCAGGAAGCCCCTTACCGAGGCCTGGCTCACCTTGGCCTTGGGCAAGGAAGAAGGATGCAGCCAGCGGAGGTCATCCCCGCCCCCAGTCCCACCATGGCTGCACTGGCTCGCCCTCCCTCCTCCGCCCTGGCCAGGCCATCATCTTGGGCCTCCCTGTGGCCCCCACCCCAGGAGGGTCCTACAGCGGGTGTGGTGACTGGGACGCTGCTTAACGAGGCTGATTCCCGGTTCCACGCCGGGCCCCTCGGAACAGGCCTCGTGGGATGAGGCCGGACTCTGCACCCGAAACAGGCTCCCCGGGGGAATCCTGGGCTTTCTGAGGGCTGGGAGCCCTGGGCTGCCTTTGCGGGAGGGAGCTCACAGGCAGCAGGAGGGGGCAGGCTGGCACCCCCTGCTCCGATTCCCTGGGGTGGATGGAAAGACAGGGCAGAGGGGAGAGGTTGGGGCAGAGCAAGTGAGGGCCTGGGGGGAGGAGGGAGGAGGGACTTGGCTGGAGAATGTGTGAAGTGTGACTTGTGGCCTCCTCGGAGCAACACCCCATGGGAAAGCCCCCCCTTTTTAAAAAAATATATTTTTATTGATTTCAGAGAGGAAGGGAGAGGGAGAGAGAGATAGAAACATCAATGATAAGAGAGAATCATTGATCAGCTGCCTCCTGCATGCCCCCCACTGGGGATTGAGTCTGGAATCGAACCCGGAACCCTTCAGTCCGCAGGCCAACGCTCTGTCCACTGAGCCACACCGGCAAGGGCTACAGTAGAGCCCTTTAATGCCTATTCAGCGATGCAGTAGGTCCCACCATTTGCCAGCAACCCTGCAAAATGGGACTTGTCCCCACTTCACGAGGCTCCCAGAGGGGATGTGGCTTGGACAAAACCCCTGGTGAGACAGGAACAGGGTCAGAACCTTATTTTCATTCCTTCGCCCGCTAGCTAGACACTGGCACAGAGGGAGAAGTACCATATAGTTTTTGCCCCCCGAAGAGTTGTGGGTCCAGAAGAGAGAGGGGCAGCCAACAACCATCCTATTCACAAGCAGAACCGTGGCCTGAGGAGGCACCAGGGCTCGGAGCTGAACTGGGAGGGTGAATAGGAGTCCCCCGGGAAGATGCAGGAGGGGCATTCAGGCAGCGGGAACAGCTTGTTCAGCTGCTCAGAGGCCTGAAATAGCAGTTGCTGGAGGGATCTTGGAGCAGCTGGTGAGGCTGAGGCTTAGAGTGCGGCACGTATGTGATGAGAGAGAGGCCGGCTGTGCAGGGAGAGCCTGGGCCAGGCCAGGGGGCTGGGCTTTGTCCTGAGTGCATGACCAATCCCCGGGAGGAGGAGGAGGAATGGCAGGGCGGCCTAATGAACAGGGGCACCGACCTGCAGAGGCAGGGCCTCCCTCCTACCCCTTCCCTGTACACCCATGGCAGGCCCTCTTTCCCCCACCCCCTGCACCCACCTTGGCTCCACTTTAGGTCTCTTTCTCTCAGCAGCCCAAGCTGGGACTGACTGCCAGGGGGCCCCGGACCCCATCCCAGCTGGGCGTGATGTGTTGGCTGTGAGGCCTGGAGTAGGTGATTTTGTCTCCCTGGGTCTCAGTTTCCTCATCTATAAAATGGGGGCAGCATTAGTCCCCGCCTCCTTCCTCAGGGTCAAGTGAGGAGCTGGTTCTGACCAGTGTCCAGCACAGTGCCAGCCATGGCTCATTTGATGCCTCCCCTCTGCCCTCCATCAGGTGAGCCTTCTCCCAAATGGTCCCCCACCCCGCGCCACCAAGCTTCAAGAACCAGTATTTGATGCCCTAACTGGTTTGGCTCAGTGGATAGAGCGTCGGCCTACGGACTCAAGGGTCCCAGGTTCGATTCCTGATGGGTTTGGCTCAGTGGATAGAGCGTCAGCCTGTGGACTGAAGGGTCCCAGGTTCAATTCTAGTCAAGGGCATGTACCTTGGCTGCAGACACATCCCCAATAGGGGGTGTGCAGGAGGCAGCTGATCGATGTTTCTCTCTCATCAATGTTTCTGTCTATCCCTCTCCCTTCCTCTCTGTAAAAATCAATAAAATATATATATTTTTAAAAAAGAACCAGTACTTGAGAGCCAGAACTTCTGGCTTTGAGTTCTTCAGCTGCCACAGTTTGTGTCTAAGAGGCCTTAGACAAGCCACAACCTCCCTGGCCCTCAGTGTTCTCAGAGGCAAATGGAAAATGTTGGGGGAGGAGGGACCCGGGCAGCCCCTCTGGCCCAGGACAACCCAGGCTGGCTCTCCCCACACACAAATAGCTCCCAGGTGCAAAAAGGGCACATCAGGGCCCCTCCCCCATCCCCCCTGCCATGTCCCCTCTGCCACCCCCAGCCCCTGCCAGGGACATCCTGTGCCCTGGTGATGTCACCAGGCCCTGGGAGCCCTGGCTGGCGGTAGCTGACAGCACTCGGGTAGGATTTATTTTTAAACTCTCAGGGCTGGGTCAGCTCCCCGCCCCCTCCCCTTCACACCCCACCTCATTCTGTTTACCCTGTTTCCCACCCCCCAGCTGAGCACCCAGGGCAGTTCTGGAAGGTTCCCTCCACACATACTCTGTTGCCTGACCCACACTGACCAGGCTTCTGAGGGGCCGTGAGGAGCCAGGCCATTGGCCAAATCTCCATCACCACATCCAGACCTGCCGAGGTAAACAGATGGGCTCCTGGAGGCGGACTCCAGCCTCCTGTGCCTCCTGAAGCCCAGAGAGGGCGAGAGACTTGCCGAAAGCCCCACAGCCAGGGCTGGGGGTCATCAGATGGCTCTGCAGGCACCTAGAACCCCAGGCTGAGCCTTGGAGCTGTCACCAAAACTTGATTTGAATTCATTTAAAAAACAACAGGTTTTTGCCAGTGGGCCTCAAGGTTTCTTGATGCCATGCAGCTCAGATAAGCTTCAGAAATAGACTGGGTGCTGGGGTACCTCCCAGCTGCACACAGCCCTCACCCACACCCTGGGCAGGATATGTGTCCATCACAATTGTGACACACCCTCTTAAGTGACTTTAGGCTAAGGACCTGTCAGCACCCTGAGCTTAGAAAGTTATGCTGCCCTAGCAAGTTGCTAGGTGGTTAGGGTCATGGGTTCGATTCCCTGTCAAGGGCACATACAGGCTCAATCCCTGGCCCGGTCGGGGCACATTCGGGAAGAAACCAATCAATGTGCCTCACATCGATATTTCTCTCTCTCTCTCTCTCCTCCTCCTCCCTCCTCTTCACTCTCTCTAAAAAAAAAATCAATGGAAAAAATATCCTTGAGTGAGGATTAAAAAAAAGA